AGCTGCCGGGAGCAGCGGCCCAGCGTGGCAGCGTTTGCATCAAAGCTTAAACGCTGCTGCTGGAAAGCATTTGGGAGAGCATTGTGGAGCTCAGTTTCTCTGTAAAGTGAATCCGTTTGCCGTGACACACTGGTGCGGCACTGGTGCTTAGGGTCCCTCACTGTCATAGCTGACCTTCCTGACTGGCCTCACACTTGAACTAAAGTTGGTGGATCAGAAGTGGATCTTGGCCCTCTAAGCAATCTGTGGCTTTACTGCCTTCTGTGCTCTTGTGTTTTCCTTTAGTCTGAGATCTCTCCTCCCAGCTACGCCTGTAACACTTCCTGCAGAGCTGCTGGAGTTTTCAGACTCTCCAGGGCAGGGCCAGACCATGACAGAAATTTTTTGTGAGACTTTTAATACAGACAGGGTGTACAACAGCAGATGATAGTGTGGCCACATAGCAGATGATATGTTGTGCAGTGTAGAAGTGCTCATAGTCCTTGGACATCATTTCTGATCCGTTTCCTGTGTTCCTGGGACAGTATCTCCGTGTGTTGCCTGTGCTGGTTGGCTGGAGGTCCCATCCCTGGCAAACAGATGGTGTATGGTGAGCTTTTAAGTAGCCAGTTGCAAGGCTGGAGGTGACCAGGCTGCAGGATGCTGGGGTTAGTGCTGATCCTCAGGAGTTTGTTAGTCTGTTAGTCCTGTGTGCTTTCTCTGAGCTCTGGTGGGTGGGAATGAGGACTCCTGACAGCCAAAGGAGTGTTGTTGATGTGCTGTATCGGCTCCCATGGGACATGGGAAAAGGTGCCCTGAGAAGAAAGCCAAGAGTTTTCCCTGCATTCATTGTCTGCAGGTGCCACGTGTGTTGAAGGAAGGGCTTTGAGGAAGGGGTTCCTGGAAGACCCTCCAACCTCATTAACAGTGGCTGCTTGGTTGTCTTCTTGTGCTGACAGTTTTGCCAAGAAACAAAGGCAGTTTGAAGAGGCGCTGTATTTTCTTGATGAAGTTTTGGTAGGGAGAGACTTGGAGAAGTTTATGTAGAGCTCTGTGTGGAGGAGGCTTCTTGCAGAAAGCTTAGGAGCAGTGTTTACTTCCAACTGTGTGTTTTGTGCCTGTTAAAGCAGGCATCCTCCTCCTTTGGGCTTTGAAGGCTGTGATGACAGGGCAGGGAACACTTGGCTTTGGATGCATGTTCTGCTCCATATGGATATCAAAGAGGGTCCGAGCAAGCGATGCCTGGCTGTGGGAGCCCTGTTGTGGCAGCAAGCTCCATAAATAAACAGCAAGTAGGTGTGTGCTTATGCTAGGAGTACACACAGAAAAGAAGGAGCTGTGTGTGGAGGTTTCAGTTTTTGCTGTGCAGTTGCGAGCAGAGTGGGCTGAAAGGGAACGGTTCTGCATTCTCAGCATCAGTGAGAGCCACAGTGAGATCCCAGGTGTTTTTGGGTTAGTCCCTTCCCTAACAGTAGCAAGGTACCATAGCAGGGTGCTCCTTCCTGCCCTGAAGTGGCCTCTGCTGCATGGCTTCACACCAATACCTTGCATACAACCAATAAAACATCCTGGCCCCCTTTTTTCTCTCAGAACCAAGAGCATCTCTCTTTAACCAGCCTTGGTCAAGAATGAGATGCCTGAAGACAGTATAAATATTCCAAGGGTAGTCATAAATTCTACCTAAGAGTTACAGGCAGTAACTCTTGTTTCTGAGCATCTTTCCCACGAGGTTTCTCCCTACATATTTTACAATAAATTATAGTAATAGTATAAGGGAAACTATGGCTTCAGGGCAGTGGCTGTGCCTGCACAATGGTTGAACCCCGCTTTTGTCTGAGATTGGGGCAGGGATTTGTTTCCATGCCTTGCATTTTCTCATGTGTTCTGCCTATCCCTATGGCAGATAACAGTAATTTTAAAAAATTAAGTCCACTTTTCCTTTCCAACTTTTCAATAAATCATGCCTGAATCCTGCTTCGTTTTTAAAAGTGGAAGAAATCAAATATGCACACACTGTTTAACATACTGAGGGTGGGAGGGTGCCAAATCTGCAGCATTAGTGCTGATCAGTGGCTGAAATTAGCGTGAAATGTATTAACAAACAGTTTACTTGCTGCCTGTGAGAAGTGGATTGCTGGTCCCAGGCTCTGAGAATTAGATGTGGGGAGCAAGAGTCACCAATATTTTCCTGCCTGGTAGATGGGAGGAGTTGCCATCCTGTTGAGTTATCATATGCATGGTGTGAAAAAGTCTGTATAAATCTCACCGTTGTTTTTCAGCCACGAATTGGGTTGGGCAGTGAATGGAGATGCTTGGAAATAGCACAGCTTCTGCCAGTAAGGGGCCAGTGAAAGAGAAGGAGAACAGGAGGTCCACATGAGGGAGAAAGACATTTTTCACTTGGGCGATCTGAGTGAGAAGGAGAGCAAACAGAGTCAAGAAGTGTGTTGTCCAGCTCCACGTGGACAGTCTCTTGCATCCTGCCAGGGATGTTAATGCTGGGGTCTGGAGAAGATAGCATGCTCTGTAGTGATGCCCATGGAGGGAGTGAGAGCAGATCAGTACATTCACAATGTATTGGTGGGCAGCCCCAATCCCACAATAGTAGGACAAGCTGAAACGGAGATAATTAGTCACCCTGAAAATTTAGGTTTTCAAATTTCAGCAGAAGAGGAGCAAACTCCATGTTCTGAAGTAAAGCTTCTGGAAGTATGGTGGAGGGGAGGAACAGTGTGTGTTCACCCCAAAACCTTGACTTCCCTTGAGCAAGTTGAAATTCCTGGATAGAAGAAGGAGCTACAACATGCCCTTTCCCTGCTGATAATTTGGAGAAAACACATTCTGACTTTCTCCATCATAGCCCATCCTTAACATGATTTAACACCCCAGAGGACCACCAGTGACTAGATCCCTGTCCATACAGAAGTCTTAAAATTGTTAATATTTGAGGCTGGGTTATATCAGGTTTTAGGACCAATGCATCCAACAGGTCCACTTCATATCAAATGGGGCTTTGCAATTCATGGATTATCGATGCATGTGTGGCAATGGAGACCTGAGGTTCCAGCTTGCCCTGTCAGGCTTTATTTGCACAGCTCTAAAGATGAAAAAAACTTTATTCAGTTTGGCAGAAGTGCCTCTGTGGCTAGTCTAGCTCTACAGGGAGCTGAAGAAGTAATATGGCAGAAACCAATTATTTTAGTGGGACCTTTCAAGGTCTTGAAACCTGTACTGGCCCACCTGGTGTGGGGGTTGTGCAGGGAGAAGCAGTAAGAACGTGGTGTGAACAATTACATCATCACTGCCATATGCCTCAGATAGAGGAGGGAGCACCCAGAGCCATCCAAATGTGGGAATTGCCTGGCAGTCCGCTGGATCACGAGCCTCCCTTCTTATAGGAAACCTACCCCTCAAGTTGAGCCCCACCTGAGAAGTTTGTGGTTCACTGAGACATCCTCCAAAAGAGAGAGAAATACTGAGCAGTGTTCTGCATGTTGATTCACAGGACAGAATTGTGACAAGGGGAGAAGAAAGTGCTGAGATGGCAGAATCAGTAGCTGTGTGATTATTAGCAGGGTAGGTAGGTAGATGGGTAGCAGGGTGATTGTTAGAGGCTGACTCTAAAGAACCAGCATTTATTTATACAAACCTCAGTGCTGTTTTTAAGGGATGCACCAATTGGCTCCCATTTTGTGAACAAAGGAGTGGGGGATCTTTTGAGTTGCCAGTATGGCAGTGAGAGAAATGGGAAGACATTCTAAATTTGTTAAGCAAAAGTGTTTCTTGGTGGGATGAAATCCTGCCCACCAGAAGAGAGAAAATCTGACTCATCTGTTGAATAATCAGGTAGGTTCATTGACCTGTGCAGCAGATATGGCAGTAGAGGGAGAAGAGAAATGGAAACATCTGCTAGAGTGGTTACATGCCAAGGGAGACCATCCAGGATTTAAGGATCTTTTTAAGAGAGCTGTCACTTGGGAACGGTGGCCTGGCACTTGGGAACTGTGCAACACCGTCATCTCTATCTGTGGCCAGTGTAGTACAGGACTAGACAAACAACACCCACTGCAGGAGGCATCCCTTCACTAAGGACATGGAAAAGGCCTCTGGGAGACCTGGCAGGTGGACTATATAGGGCCTTTCCTGAAGTCAGGGTGGAAGTATTGTCTGAGCTCACTCAAGCTGAGGCAGTACCAAGAGCAGCAGGGCACAGCACCGTAAAGGGACTGGAGCTATGGTTTCATTATTTGCCATGGTCCCAGTCCCTCCAGTCCAGCAGTAGTCACTTTACTGCCAGGGTGTCAGGACTCATCCTCATAGAGGTCACCAATTGTTGGCATCACTGCTTGGCACCAGTTTATTGTCTTACTGTAAAACTTTCATACCTTCTCTCTGTGAGTTCCCGGGGCAGCCCCTCACAACACTGACTCCTTTTTTCTTTTCTTCTGCACAGCCACCTGCCCCTTCCTCCTCACAGCATAACCAACAAACTCCAGCACTCTTCTCCCTCACCTAACCTACTCCTTTATAACACCCATCCTTATTGGACACAGCTGTGGCCTATTAAGGGCAGAGCTGTTCCTACTCTTTGGTAATTACTGCTGCAACTGCTCAGGGGTGAGATTGCTTTAGCGCTGTCTCTATTCTCCTACAATCCATCCTCCCACACCAGGGTGGTTCAAGAGTGGGCACAAGATGAAGGAATTCCATGGACATTTCACACTCCATACTATCCCTAGGCAAATGAGGTTGTCGAATGCACCCATGGGCTCTTGAAGAGGAACCTGAAACCTCATGAACCCGAATGGGCAAGAGGGTATCAAATGGGGTACATAGAGCTTCTGGGGAGTTAATGGGTGCCTGTAACTCACAACCTTTTGTCTTCATTCCCAGCCATGCTCCCTGGAACAAAAGAAACTAAAGACCCTGCAAATCCATTGGTTAGGACAGCTGGTTTTGGCAGAATTACCAAGAGTGGGATTGGTACCCCTGACCTTAAAAAAGCCACTTAACTTGCATGCCAGGTGGTGGATTGTTCCCTCCTTTTAATCATGTTTTGTTTTTATGCATGTATATGTTTTACAGATTATCTGAAATCCACTGCTGGACCTATGCTTTCAACTCTTGAGTGGACGGATCATTTTGTGTATTTTTAAATTTGATTTTGCTAAGCCTATTTTGCCTTTTCACTAGCAAAAAAATGGTGTGGGAAAAGTTTTTACTCTTATGTTATGGATGTATGATTTTGTCTCAAGCTACTGAAAATCAGAGTACTGAACCAAATTTAGCTTGGGAGTTGATACAAGGATTTATGCATATTTGGAATCATACAAATCAAGGAATATGTATTAACCTCCCCAACTCTGCATCAGAGGGGTTTAGATTTATGATGATTTGGTTAAATTTTTCAGAAATATTAACAAGAGAACTGGATAATCTTAAAAAACCAGGAGGAAATGTTACCTGGGGGATGGTGGAATCCCAGTTCCTAGATCAGAAAGAAGGACAACAGTGGGATGCAAATGGGACATGGGTAGAATACAAGAATGCCTTTTACCAGCTCCCACGGGACTCTACCTGGAGCGATTTATGGAATCAAACATGCTATCGGTCATTAGACACCAACCCTTCTGAGACATTGCAAAATGTCACTTCTATCCCTTGCACGGTGGTACCGTGGTGGGATTCTCCTGCTGAGGGTGGGTTTTTTGAACATGAGTACAATTTACATTGGGATGCAGGATGGTGTATACAAATCCCTGATAACCCAGGAACCGCGCAGCAAGTTAACCGAACAAATTACGAGTGGGCCTGGTCTCTGAAACAAATCTTTGATCCTATATCTACACTACAATGGGCTTCCAGGGTCCCCACAGGGAAAATAGTAGAATGGGAAGTGGAGAAATCAGACTGTAAGGATTATCAGACCACACTACCTAATGGAGAGAGCATCTGCTGGAAAGTGAGGAACCGTAGAAGTCTTACCCAAAGTAAATCAGAGACCTCCTTTCTGAATTGTTCCCGTATATTAGATTGTACCACAGGAGCAGGTGAGCCTATAGAAACCTGGTACATCTCGGAGCTGAGAACTTTTATCCGGGACATGTGTACCTGTTGGGATTATCCCAACTATGGCTATCTAAACCAAGACACCCGATGCAATGGGTCTTATGAAAATTCAGAGACAGCACTATCCTGTGGCATTCCCATTACACACGGCCCTGAACAGAGAAGGGTCTGGAATTCAAGGAGTGAAGCACAGGAAGTTCCCCAAGGTGACCTGTATCAGTGTTCACAAGCCAAATATCCAGCTCCACGGGGAACGGTATGGGCATGTTCAGATGGGAAAATGTATTCCCACTTGAACATGTATGATATGGCTGGACTGCAGTGTACTGTTGGGTTTCCTACCATGTGTCCATCTAAAACGTTCAATTATACGCTTTATCGTAACAACAAAGTGCGGAGAGAAATCCACAATCCAACAGATGCAAAAGGCTGGATTCAGGGGATTCAAGTCCCTGACTATTACACCTGGGGACAAAATGTTGCTTTAGACTTAGAATCATTTTTTGTGTCCAGTGGAGTTGACCAGCAGCACAAGTATGTCTTGGAGAACTTAACTAGGCAAGTCCATGTGTTAAGCAACTGGACCGGACGCTCCCTCAGGGAACCGAAGGTGCAGGCCCCGCAGGCATCGGAAATGGCTCTGCAGAAGCGATTAGCCATAGATACGTGGTTGCTGAAAGAGAATGGAGTGTGTGGGATGCTAAACCTGACGGATGGAGAATGCTGTGTCACTGTCCATAATGCCAGCACCACCATAGAAGAGGCACGTCAGAAGATGAAGGAGATTGCTGAGCAAACGGGAGAACTGTTTCAAGCAATGCAGCCCAAGGACTAGTTTGATGGACTGAGCCTGGATTGTGGATCACATGTACTAAAGTGCCTTGGATTTATGGGATGGGGAAGGTGGCTTGTGTGCACTGACCTTATCATACTGTGTGGATTCTTGGGTTTGATGATAGGGCAGGAAGTCATGTCAAACTGAGATGAGTTCATTATGGTTATAGAGGAAAGGGATAGAGTTTCTAGCACTGTATAATTCCATACCGTTCTTGTCATGGCAAGAATGTGGTTGGAGCCAGAGGGAGTCAGGGGATGGAAGTGGAAGGGTGGCCTTCTTTTGCTATGCTTGGGGATTTGGCTTTTCTGGTTTGGTGCTCAAAGACAGTGCTGGTGAGCCCAAGAGCTGGGGAGGTGCTCCAAGAAAAAGAAAGGAGAGAAAGCAGCAGCAGGGCAGGGCCCAGCTGAGCCATGTGGAGCCCAGGCTGCAGCTGCTGTGACTGCAGCCCCTGGAGCAGCTGCTGGAACTGCCAGGCTCTCCAGTCCCACTCCCACAAAGTCAGGCCGAGAAGGAGGGTCCTCTCACCTGCTTCAGAGCCCTGTCAGGTCCCACCAGGTTTTGCCTTGTCCCTGTTCTTCCATTGTTTTCAGTCTGAGTGGGAAAAGTTAAATTGAAAGCCTTTCCAACATTCTGCTTTTGTTTTTGCATATACTCCATGCTGCCCAGCACAGGGCCAGCCATCATTTTGCCTTTTTCTTGGAAAACCACACTGGATGTGGTCTTTGGGAAGTATTTTTGTTTGTTCAGTAGTGAATATCCTTTTGTCTCTCTTTTGTACACTCTTTTATTATCTCTCTTTTGTACACTCTTTTATTGATATTGTTGTGCTTATTGCAATTTTTCAGTAAATTGTGATTCCAATTTATAATCTATCCTGTGTTTCCTCCACTGCTGGAAAGGGGCAGGGGAAAGGGATCAGCTCAAGTAGGTTTAATATTCTATTCCCACTGGGTTTTAAATCAGCACGGAGCTATAAGGAGATAGTTGGGATTTGTGAAAAGACTCGTGAGCTCATAAAATAATAAAAAAAAATCTCATAAAAAGTCTCATAAAATAGCTCTCATTGAGTGAAGAATATTTGGGTTCACCACCAAAGACTCCAAGACATGCACTGCTGGGAATTCCATTGCTAGAATTGCTTAGGAAATCCATGCAAGCATGTTGGTACTTATAATTTTATAAGATAAATATGAAGACACACAAGCATGATTTATTGATAGAGCAGAAGCTATATATAGT